ACACAACAGAAACAAGGTGCAACACGACGAAATTAGCACAACACAAAGGAAGCAAGCCACAACACAATGGAAACAAGCCGCAACACAACAGAAACAAGGTGCAACACAACAGAAACAAGGTGCAACACAACAGAAACAAGGTGCAACACAACAGAAAAAAGGCGCAACACAACAGAAACAAGGTGCAACACAACATTTGCTTTATTTAGGATTTTTTTTAAATTATTTTATTTATTAATTGTTTTTCTTGTTTATTTCATTTATATGTAAATATATATATTTCATTTTTACTTTATTTCATTTTTACTTTTAATATAAACTATTTTATTTTATTTTTAATGTATACTCCTTTTGGCCACTCTTGAGACTTTTAGAAGTCTTGAATAGTTAGTTTCCTAACTTTATTTCCTTTGATTAACTGCTCATCAGTGAGACTCTCAGTGGCTCTCGTTGACGCAGGTGAGCAATGGCTTGGACCTGCAGAGTTAGCTGGATGTCTCGTTCTCTTGGCTTCAGCCTGGAAAAGTGCTGATCGTGGAAGGGGTGCTGGAGGAGCTCTCTCTTGGGCAGATGGTGGGAAGACAGGGGGAGTAGTCACCCTGCTGCTTGGCCAACAGGGACACACACACAGACGCATTCACATACGGCACACCCACACAGGAAACATTAGAACAACGATTTGTCATAGTCTTTCATTTCGACGGAGGAGTTCTTTTGTTGTTGGAAATAAGCCTTGTGAGTTTATTATTATCTTCCTCTGAGTCAGTACGTTTAAGAGTTCAGCAGACACCTCTTGTGATGGTGATGGGCCGTTCTTCTTTCTCTAACTGTCCACAAGCTATTTATGATGAGTTCCTCTCAAACTAGCCATCAAAGTTTTCTTGTTTATTTCGACAGCTTTTATGATGCCAAGACAAAAGAAGCAAACACACATTTTGCATAGCAGGGCTCAAAAAATAAGTATTGTTTTTAGTGATAGACTAATATGTCAGACAGGCTGATTTTCAAAACAACATTTGGCGGTTTTTGAGATTATCGGCATCCGTCAGTTAAATTTTTAGCTACTATATATCTATATATATATATACTTTCTAGATGATGTCATTGGAAAAAAATCTTTAGACACTTTATATACATGTATGTATGTATATATATATATATATATACAGTGGGTACGGAAAGTAATCAGACCCCCTTAAATTTTTCACTCTTTGTTATATTGCAGCCATTTGCTAAAATCATTTAAGTTAATTTTTTTTCCTCATTAATGTACACGCAGCACCCCATATTGACAGAAAAACACAGAATCGTTGACATTTTTGCAGATTTATTAAAAAAGAAAAACTGAAATATCACATGGTCCTAAGTATTCAGACCCTTTGCTGTGACACTCATATATTTAACTCAGGTGCTGTCCATTTCTTCTGATCATCCTTGAGATGGTTCTACACCTTCATTTGAGTCCAGCTGTGTTTGATTATACTGATTGGACTTGATTAGGAAAGCCACACACCTGTCTATATAAGACCTTACAGCTCACAGTATATATGTATATATATATATATATATATATATATATACACATATTGAATAAATAGTAATTTATTACAATAGTAATATTTTATGTAAATTAACAAAAACAACTTGAGTAAATACTGTACACAATACTGCACAGTATTACTACATCGTAACTCTGATAGCTAAACTTTCGCTGGCATTAAAGACATAAAAACTCATGTACATGATCTGCAAATAAGAAATTGTTGGAACGTAAGCACTGG